ATTGCAATGCCTTGCATCAAATTCTCTCCTTTTGTATTTGAGGTTAAAATTGGTTATTTAACATGAATGGGATATTGGAGTAGATATAGTTGAAATGAAGGTGGATATAGCAACACCTAATTTCATTACTTAAAGGTGTGTTTCTCTGTACTGGTACTGGTACTTATTGACTATAAACAATTTTTTAATTTATAAATTGCTTATAAGTCAAATATTTTTTTATGAAAGTAAAATAACTTAAATGATTGATAAGTCACTTGGAAATATTTATAAATGGTGAGAGTCTGTTTTGTAAATAACCTGGTCAAGATGGATAAACGAAAAAATTGACTTAATAATAAGTAGTGAAGGCTTACTTATTTTTTATGACTTATAAACAACTTATAAGTCAGTTTATAAATACACATAAGCATGTCATTAGCTGATTTATATTTATAAGTTAAAAATTGTATTTATAAGCACTTTTGACCGAAGCACATAAAATTAAAGAAACACTTAATAAAAAATGAAAAAATGTTAAGTTTATTTTGAGATGAAAAGAAAAGAGAGTGTGAAATATATATATATATATATATATATATATATATATATATATATATATATATATGTATGTATGTATGTATGTATGTATATATATATATATGTATGTATGTATGTATGTATATATATATATATATATTGTTAGAATATAAATAACTGTTCCTGGGCCACAATCACAAACTTGAGCTTTTAGTTGAATTGGTTCCTTAACATGGTATCGAAGCCTCGTTGACTAAGAGGTCACAGGTTCGAAACTCAACGCCACCCAGTTTAAAAAAAATTAAGGTTTCACGTACAAGGCTCGAAAAAGACTACGCCTGCACGTGAGGGGGCGTGTTAGAATATAAATAACTGTTCTTAGGCCACAACCACAAACTTGAGCTTTTGCTGAATTGGTTCCTTGACATATATGTACACATGGAATTAATCTACAAATAACTACTTGAGTAGTTATAAACAATTGATTTTGTTATATTTCCATGAACAACATAATCAATTAGTCGAACAATTAATTTAATGGACAATTTAAACTTACTAATACATATAGACTAGTTTTCTACCCCGTGCTACGCACGGGCTTGTTATTAGGGCTCATTGTCATAATGTTATTGATGCGATGGTTGAAAATGGAGAGTTTGGTTTATGATTTAATTTTCTTCCGTGCTACGCTTGGGCATGTGTTAAAGGGTTGTGTATGTTTTGGTTTTGTAGGATTTTGAAAGGCTACATTGTATCTTTTTGTTTTGTGAAATGTGAAGAGTGATATTATTCTATTTTGGGGTTTTTTAATTTGATGTTGGTGGTTGAAGAGATTCATTTTTTGTAATGATTTTAAATGTTCATTTTGGCATTGTACCGGTTGATGTTCATTTTGGTGTTTTGATGTTTGTTAGGGATATATGACGGCTGGGCATCTGTACATGTTACTATTGAAGCGAGAATTGCGAAAGACGAACATCAATGCTTAGTGTCTGCACACATTGGCCTACACGTTGGCGTTTAATGTTTGAGGTCTGTACGCGTTGGCATTTACTGCCTTGTCACGTATGACATGTGTCAACACTACAACCCCTAAACTATCTTTTACATACATATATACCTACACACACACACACACAAATATATACATATATATATGTGTGTGTGTGTGTATGTGTGTGTGTGCGTG